ATGTATGAGCTGATATGCTGTATAACAGTATAAGAAGAGATGAGATTCATTGACACGAACTTTGTTAGAAATCTTTGCTTGCAATTTTACACTTGGCTTTGAAATGTTTGATATAATGCCAGTAAAAGTTGTTCCGCTTCATAAGAAGATAGGATCCATTGAGATGAGCTTTGTTTGAAATCCTTGTTTGCAATTTTTCAATGGAGTTTGAGGATGGATGCTAAGCAGTAAGCAATGATTTGGTACTGTTTTATTCCTTCCACTAGCCAGTGGACTGGACAAATGGTTGGATAAGAATTGCTGATTTAAGCCTATAATTTTTCTTTGTATGTTCCTTTTTATAAGTAAATACTTTTCGTTTTTTCACAGAAAAATAAATCAATATTAACCGGTCACTTTAGTATATTATTTTTGCTTTTTCCCTGCTGCCTCATCTCTCTCCTGCAGATTGGCATGGGGGTCGGCCATCTCAGAGGTGAGTATATTTCTTAATGGGCCTGGGCATGCAATCTACTTGTATAGATAAATATGATTTTCCATTGTTGCATTTACTCTAATTTGTTGATCCTAGTTGATGAAGAGAAGATTATAATAGGATTCTCAGTGTTACTAAGAGATGTGATTATTGTTTTATCTAAGATCTTTTTCCTTTTCTGTGTCTTAGAGCTTGGGGCGAAGATTATTTTGTTTTATTTCTTTTTTTCCCCTTAGGGTGGGGTGGGGTTCTGGTGGTGAGCACTGAGCAGAAATAGAGAAGCTCATATTCATTTGCTTTTTATAGATGCAATTTGAGGAATTCCGTTGTTTAGGCACCTCGGGGTGTGTCTTATCCATATTTGCTTCATCTTGCACATCTTTGTTTGTTAGTGGACATATTTTCTTTTATTTAAATATTGTTACACGTGTAAACAAAATTTATATAGGGGTGTAAACAAAATTTATATAGGGCCTCAAAATAATTTGTCGCTTAGGGCCTCCAAATTCTCAGGGCCGGCGCTGTTGAACTCACAACTTTTCATTCACGTATTTCATCGTGTTCGACAATCATTAGAATAAATTTTTTTTTTCAAACTCCTTTTCAACTGTATCTCACAATAAAATATTTTACACATTAACTGAAATTTTATAAAAATTTAAAAGTTTATGAGCTGACAATGGAGGATGGGACTAATAAATTACACTAGGAACATGTATGTTATGGTTTGACTTCATCAAAAACTTTGAACTCGATTAAGATAACTTACTCGATAGGCTACTTGATATAAAGTAAAAATAAAAATCATGCAGAACTGACCTTAAAATAATGAAAAATGATGCAAGTACAAGAAATAAATGACAGAATTTTTTCAGATTTTTGAATTTCTCTCACATGAGAAGGCGTGGCCTACATGAATTAAATATTGTTAAAAAC